TATATATAAATGCACGAAAATAATCACATAATGACAATGATTATTTTTTTGTGAAATAAAATGCTTAGATAATAAAAACATATTTAGATGTTTCATAAAATGTTTAATTTATGCTTTATTAGAATTTCATGCATGAAAGAAGGGAAAAGAAGTACGTGTACAATAATGATCACTGCAGTATTATACTTCACCGCTAGATGGAAGCAGATCTCTTTGCATGCATTTAATGCGTTAATCTTGGTGTGTGTGTGTGTGTGTGTGTGTGAGAGAGAGAGAGAGAGAGAGAGAGCGCTCAAGTTTGTGCATTTGTGGTAGGGTATTTTTCTGCAGTTACATCGTTACACCACTAGGTGACTGTCTTTATTCAGTCATTGACTCGTTCATTCAACTAATTAGTTCAAAAAATAAAATAAATAAATGAATAAAAAGCAATAACATAAAACAATAAAAATGCTGATTTATTCAAGAATTAAGCAAGTTGCTAAATCTCCACAGAAACTGATCCAATCGTTGCCAGAAGGTTAAAAGGACAATTTTTATTTTATTTTATTTTTTTTTTCCCGGGAGTCTCCCACATTTCACACCCATCTCCCGCCCCCCTCCCGTTTTGTTATTTCTCCCGGGAAACTCTTGTAATTTGTATGGCCCAAACCTTTCAATTCAAATTATTTTTCCAAGGTTGTCTAGTTGCCAGATCTTCTATGAAACCCAACCTACTCACACAATCGACACATCATACAAATTTCAACCCATTTGTGACCTCAACCTGGCAACCTACAACCCAGTCGCGCTGTTGCTATCTGCACAGGTAGTAGATGTGGGAAATTGAATCATGGTAGAAATGGGAGGAAAAGACCAATGTTGGGAAAGTTACTTTGGAAATGTAATAGGTTACAGATTACAAAATACTCCATTTAAAATGTAGTATATAGTCTAACTATTTCAATTACTTTATAACTGATTATATTTGATTTCTTTTTAATTTATTTTCTAAATTTCTAATGAATGTTTTCAACTGCTAATCATTTTGAAACATTTAAACTAGGCAGGGTTAACCTTACATTAGTGTTCAACACTGATTACTGTGAGACTTTCAAAATCCTTCATCACTTGTAATTTAATTTTAAAGCACAGCCGCCACAAAATCTGACTTTAGCACCTCGTTTTACTTTGAGATATTTCTGAGGTTAAATACAGATTTAAAATCATAACAAGATATGGTTTAATAGCTGTGGTGCTATTTTTGAAATCAAATCTTTGCATAGCTGTGACAGGAAACACTGGCATCAAACAATGCCTTGGGCAAAAAACAATTAATCTAAAAAAAAAAAAGAAAAAAAAAACATATACATAAACCCAAATAGAAAATAAAACGGTTATCAAATAAACATGTTTCCTATTCTGTGTCCTAAACTCCTAAACATATTGGCGTCTAATACTTTAAAGCAGTCAATGCAATTTGGGAAATAAATCAAACCTGTATGTGTGTGAAAATATTCAGACCCCCTTTGTAGTCGTGAACGTTTTCATAAGTAACTGTACTTTAATTACACTTTTTTTTTCTCAATAACTGTAACAGATTACAGTTACATTAACAGCTGGACGGAAGAATTACATTTAATATCTCGAAGCCATTTCGATAACATAAACTTTAACTTCGATAACTTTATTTAAAAAAAAAAAAAACAAACAAAAAAAAAAACAAAGGGGGAAGTCGTGGCCTAATGGTTAGAGAGTCGGACTTGTAACCCAAAGGTTGCGGGTTCGAGTCTCGTACCGGCAGGGATTGTAGGTGGGGGGAGTGAATGTACAGCGCTCTCTTCCACCTTCAATACCACGACTGAGGTGCCCTTGAGCAAGGCACCGAACCCCCAACTGCTCCCCGGGCGCCGCAGCAAAAATGGCTGCCCACTGCTCCGGGTGTGTGTTCACAGTGTGTGTGTGTTCACTGCTGTGTGTGTGCACTAAGGATGGGACAAATGCAGACCACTAATTCCTAGTATGGGTCACCATACTTGGCCACATGTCACATCACTTTTTTTATATATAAATGACGTTACTCAGCATATTAAATCACAACGTCACAATCACGCAGCGGAGGTACAGAAGGGCATATGAAATACATGTGTTTTGTTACATGTTCACAGTGCTACATTACATGCACCACAGTGATTTACTGCGGTGCAGTGTTTACAATATATAATACTTTATAATAATAACTTTAATATGTTGGTGTAAACCTAAAACGTGTTGTTATGATAATCAGCAAATATACAAGTCAACATTCCATTACATATTTTACTATATGCATGATGGGATATGTAGTTCATTCTGTCTGGTCTTGTCTCTCTGTGTCTTTTCGAGAAGAAAAAGCAGATGGCATAGGTTTTTTGACAACAACGACAACAACAACAACAATGGTTAAATTCAAACCAGAAATGAGGGTGAACACACATGATGTGAATTTGTACAGCCAGATGTTTTCCCTTTGCCTGCTGGAGAAACACTTCGAAAGGCACTGCTTCATCTCAATATGATTAAGCGTGCTGCAGGAAATGAAGCATTTAAAAAGCATACTGTAGGCTGTTACCAATTACTGTAGCGGTGTCATTTTCTCTTCGCTGTGTCCTGTATGTGCGGTGAGAAAAGCGCAAACACTGACAGGCTCGGGTTGGCACATCTCAGTGTCGTTGCACACACGACGGTCTCGAACTGTTTGCTCTCCCACTCCTCATCCTCCTCCTCCTCCTCCTCCTCCTCCAAGTCTTTGCCTGTCATGCCAAAATCCAGCATAATGACTCATGCGATCGCCAGACAGAGTGGACAGGAATGCACACTGGAGCGCAGAGAAACAGTCGTTGTTGTTCAGAGTCGCACATCTGTTTAGCCATCACATGGACGTCTCAGCACTCAAGTAATATCCTTCCTCACGTAATCGCATTGTTTTGTGTCTGCCAAGGGTTCTGTGCACGAACATGGCAAACCGACGTGAAAATCAACCCATGTGTATTCATAGTCGACACAATTCATCACCTTCTGAAACTATTCCCTTCATGATAGATGTATGACATGTGCAGCCACAAGAAGCCTGCCCTTGTGAAAAAGAAGTACCCTTGAGCATGCTTTAAAAGAGTACTTATTACAGAAATAACATATTTTATAAGTGCAAACTGAATGTAATGTTTTAAGACACTTAATTGCAAGTTGATTAAATAAAACAGTATAGTTTCTATGTATAGCCTATTAAAATGCAATTAACTTTTTACCCATTTAACTTAAGTACAGTTTTACATGTAATTTTATAATTGTACAGTTTCTGCTGAATGCACTGACAAGCCGTTGACCTTTAATGTCATACTTTAATGTCATTTCTATTGAAATTTGTATGTCCTGTTTAAATATGTGTAATTGTGCATCTATAATGAGGAATTTGCAAGTTGGTACTTTTAAAATATTTCACCTTTAGATATAATATCAAACACACTACAGTTAAAATCATATAATCAAGTACTGTACATGCTTTATTATGTTAGTCAACACATCAAAATAAGTGTACTTCTTCAACACGACTAACAGTTATTATCTGTTTATCTAAATGAATGAATAAATGCATACATGCATGCATTGAATGAATGAATGAATTAATTAATGTGTAAGGGTCAATGGCTTAATGGTTCTTTATTGTGTACAGCACTGTTTGTTTTTGCCAAAAAATATGTTAAGATGTAATTCAAACGGAAAATTACAAATTTTCAAAACTGCACATTTGAAAATACTTTGTCTGCCCAAAATAAGTCAAAGTTTGTACAAATAGCATGCAGAAAGCAATACTGTTGTAATGATGTAACTGAGAAAAAATGTGTCTCTTGAAAACAGGTGTGTAAAATACTTGAGTCATTTTACTTGATTACTGTACTTAAGTACTATTTGGGGGCATCTGTACTTTATTCAAATACAATTTAAACTGACCTGTACTTTTACTTGATTACATTTCTAAAGAAAAAAACAGTACTTTTTATTCCTGACGATTTTATTTCAACTTGAAAAGTACTTATTAAATTGTGTTTTGTTTTGCTTTCTCCCTTTAACCAAACCTTTGTTGTTGTTGTTTTTCTAGGTTACTTGTATTTTTTTTTTTATACTCAAGTACAATTTAAAGTTGTACTTTTTTACTTGTATGTTTTTGGCCATACTTAGAGTATCTGTACTTTCACTTGAGTATAATTTTTGAGTGCTTTTTACACCCATTGCTTAAAAATATCAGTTAATTTGACCATGTTATGACATGGTCAGGTTAGTTCAGGACAGGTTGTCACAATATTTCAATAGAAATGACATTAAGTATGTTTTACTTTACCGTAAAGGCTTGTCAGTACAATAAGCAGCGCCCTTAAACTATATTTCAAAGACAAGATAAGTAATTATGAAATTGCAAATAAACGTGTACGTAAGTGGGTCAAAACCACACTAAAGTTCAGCTAATTGCATTTCATAAACATTTAAACCTTTTTTTTTTCATTTAATTGCAATTAACATTTATTTAGTTATTTATTCAGTTATTTAGTGTCTGAAAACATTACACTCAGTTCACACTTAAGCATATTCTTTCCAAGTATATTATAACTTTTTTTTCTTTTTTTATTATTATTTCTTTTTTGTATTTTACAAGGGCTCACATGCTCACATTAATATTTTTAGAAGCGTTAAAGTAAAACTTTTGTTGAAACTGATATAAAGGTCTTTCAAAGCCAACATGAATACAACATTACGTTTCCAAGAAGTAGATTTTTCATGTTCGTCATCTCTCTTAATCACAATTTTCACACCCTTTTTATAAATGCATAAAAGCAACCCTCCTGCTTCAGTTCCTGCGTTAATAGGCTCATTCCTATTAATAACTTTGCTTAGTTCTGATCCAGAACCGGACATGATCTGAGTCACAAATCTCTGCCATAAGACATGGTGTTCCAGTGACGTCATTCTGTCTCTCACCTTCACAGAAGTCACAGACCAGGGTGGCCGGCGGGACTTGAAAGCAGTGCCGTTCATCAGCTACCTGTCAGGCCTGCTGAAGACGCAGCTGCTGTCTGATGACCTGGTGGCCGGTGTGGAGATCCGGTGTCAGGAGAAGGGCACCTGCCCGGCTGCCTGTCACCTGTGCAGACAAGCAGGCCGTGAGACGCCCAGCCCGACGCCAGTCCTCCTGGAAGTCAGCCGCATCGTGCCCCTGTACAGCCTGGTGCAGGATAACGTCACTAAAGAGGTAAATGAGGGCTGTGTTTGGTTAAATCTTTCACTCTTATAAATAATAGTTCATATAAAAATCGAAAAGGGGTTTCCAGTCTGTTTTCCCACAAATGATCATTTTGAATTCTTTAGAAATCCATCTAGACTATACCGTTCAAAAGTTTGGGGTTGGTAAGATTTGTATTTATTTTTTATTTATTTATTTTTAAAGAAGACTCTAATGAAAAATAAAAACAGTAATATTGTGAAATATTTGTATAATGTGAATTTATTGTCAAATGTAATTTATTCCTGTGATCAAATCTTAATTTTCAGCATCATTCCTCCAGTCTTCATTGTCACATGATCCTTCAGAAATCATTCTAATATGCTGATTTTCTTGAGCAGCATTTATTGTCAATGTTGGAAACAGTTGTGCCACTTCATATAGACGTATTCCGCTGCTCCAGACACACCAGATAATTTTTGAGTGCTTTTTACACCCATTGCTTAAAAATATCAGTTAATTTGACCATGTTATGACATGGTCAGGTTAGTTCAGGACAGGTTGTCACAATATTTCAATAGAAATGACATTAAGTATGTTTTACTTTACCGTAAAGGCTTGTCAGTACAATAAGCAGCGCCCTTAAACTATATTTCAAAGACAAGATAAGTAATTATGAAATTGCAAATAAACGTGTACGTAAGTGGGTCAAAACCACACTAAAGTTCAGCTAATTGCATTTCATAAACATTTAAACCTTTTTTTTTTCATTTAATTGCAATTAACATTTATTTAGTTATTTATTCAGTTATTTAGTGTCTGAAAACATTACACTCAGTTCACACTTAAGCATATTCTTTCCAAGTATATTATAACTTTTTTTTCTTTTTTTATTATTATTTCTTTTTTGTATTTTACAAGGGCTCACATGCTCACATTAATATTTTTAGAAGCGTTAAAGTAAAACTTTTGTTGAAACTGATATAAAGGTCTTTCAAAGCCAACATGAATACAACATTACGTTTCCAAGAAGTAGATTTTTCATGTTCGTCATCTCTCTTAATCACAATTTTCACACCCTTTTTATAAATGCATAAAAGCAACCCTCCTGCTTCAGTTCCTGCGTTAATAGGCTCATTCCTATTAATAACTTCGCTTAGTTCTGATCCAGAACCGGACATGATCTGAGTCACAAATCTCTGCCATAAGACATGGTGTTCCAGTGACGTCATTCTGTCTCTCACCTTCACAGAAGTCACAGACCAGGGTGGCCGGCGGGACTTGAAAGCGGTGCCGTTCATCAGCTACCTGTCGGGCCTGCTGAAGACGCAGCTGCTGTCTGATGACCTGGTGGCCGGTGTGGAGATCCGGTGTCAGGAGAAGGGCACCTGCCCGGCTGCCTGTCACCTGTGCAGACAAGCAGGCCGTGAGACGCCCAGCCCGACGCCAGTCCTCCTGGAAGTCAGCCGCATCGTGCCCCTGTACAGCCTGGTGCAGGATAACGTTACTAAAGAGGTAAATGAGGGATGCATTTGATCAAGTCTTTGACTCTTTTAAAATATATATATATAAATGAAGTCATGATTAACCATCAGTCCAAATCAATGGAGGCTTGTAAAACAAAGTATTCAGTCACAACAGCAAAACAGTAAAGTTTTTTGTTTGTCTTGCATCATACTAACTCACTCTGCCAAGCATCTTTTATTTGCCCTCCAAGTTTTGCTGACAGTTTTGCTTAAAGTTCTGACGCTTTTTGAGTTGCTCTGCAAAACTTCCTAAAAGCAATTCCCTGAAAATAAACAGCTCAACAGGTGGAGTGTTATATTTTATGTGTGTTGAAGATAGCCTTCGCTGTAATTGAGTATATGGCTGCTTATTGGAATAAAACTGCTCAGCTAGGGAATCGCCAAAGGTGTGCAGCCAATCCGATCATGGTACAATCTCCGTTCTCCGAACAAGAAAATTACTGATACTGCCCTTATAGTTTGTATTAAACCCAAGGCAAGATGCTGACCGAAATCAATTTTCCAGGGAATGCTATAGCCATGGATTTTGCTACGTATTGAAGTGGATAGAGAAAGCAAATCAAATCAGCTTATAGGCACCCTTCAGCCGGTTTGCTGCTTTTCAACAATGTGCACTTTATTTGAATTCTTCGTGTCCCCTTATGAACCCTGGATTCAATCGAAGTCATAGCTCTCTTCCTGGAAGATGGTTATAGGTGTTCCTAGAAATAGGGACATTTCCTTCACTACATTAGGCTGAATGATCGGAATGACCTGTTTGCTGAGGTTTTGGGTCATCGGATGAATCAATTCCTCTGGCCAGCTGGCTAATGTTTGCACATATCAGACACTGATTGGGGACAGTAATAGGGTGAGCTCAGATGAGTTACAACAGATAACAGCATTTAGAAGTCATGATTGCCCTACGTCTTGTCATTGAGAATGGGTTTCTCTGAGGTCGAGAGGGTTAAGAGGTTTTGTGGAACTCAGGGACAGTTTCGAAAAAGAAAGTAAACATCTGTCGTAAACAGTTTCTGTGCTATAGTGCACAACCCACTTCAATTCTTCAGAAAGCTTGATTTTGAATTGATTGAACCGGTGTGACGCAGTAAGTATTTGAGTAAATGTAATTAGTTACTGTACTAAGTATCTTTTTGGCTTTTTTACTGAGTATCAAAGACATTAGCAACTTTTACTTTCTACTTGACCACATTTTTGAGAAAAAAAAAAGTATATATATTCTTTTTTTCATTACATTTATGATGAGTAATGCAATCTACATACCCATCTACAGGACATTGAAGGTACTATATATTGTGCGTGAATGCATTAGCAGGTAGTTGTGAATCGCATGTGTTATGTCATATATGAGATTAGGACATGGCTGAGACCTTTTTGAAGGGTATTGGTTTAATTATGCCCTTTTTGAGTATTTAAAGGGTTAGTTCACCCAAAAATGAAAATTAGCCCATAAATTACTCACCCTCAAGTCATCCTAGGTGTATATGACTTTCTTCTTTCAGACGAATCCAGTCGGAGTTATATTAAAAATGGTCTTTGATCTTTCAAGCTGTTTAATGACAGTCAGCGGGTGTTGCATGCATCAGTCCAAAAGAAGTGAAATACGCAGCCATGTGAGTTAAACTTTTTTATGGATGGTGCTTTTTATTTAACTTCTTTTGGACTGGTGCATGCAACACTTCGCTGAGTGGCATGAAACAGCTTGAAAGATCAAAGACAATTTTTTTGAGCAGCATTTATTGTCAATGTTGGAAACAGTTGTGCCACTTCATATAGACGTATTCCGCTGCTCCAGACACACCAGTAGGTGGCAGGAGTGATTTTCATTATGATGAAGCTGGCTTTCTCTTTCTGGAAGGATGTTACGAACTGAGAAGACTTGAGCTTAGATGGAGAAAATGCAATATGAACTATTATATATTAAAGGGGTCATATGATGCGATTTCAAGTTTTCCTTTCTCTTTGGAGTGTTACAAGCTGTTCGTGAATTAAGATCCCTAAAGTTGCAAAGACTAAAGTCTCAAACCCAGAGATATTCTATATAAAAATTAAGACTGGTCCACGCCCTCCTAAAACGCCTCGTTCAAACACGTCCCCACATATCTACGTCACGATGTGG